TGTAAAACACTTAACATTGCTTAATGCGTTTAGAGAGTGTTTTTAAAAGGCCAAACTCATTAAACACATTATTAATAAATTATAATAGGCTATGTACAGACAAGAAGATGAGTCCAGGATGCGAGCCCAAGGCGCTTTTCTTATTACGGTTTTCTATGGTTAAAACGCGTAATGCGTTAAACACATTGCGTTCTTATTATGGGCTCATTTGCTTGTCTGTACAGAGAATGCTTTATTAATGATGTGTTTACTGAGTTTGGTCTTTTAAAAACACTGCCTTAAGGCATTAGGCCATGTTAAGTGTTGTCCGTACAGTAGGTATTCTATGGGAGGAAAACGATTATGCGGAATTAAACGCATTGCGTTCTTATTATGGGCTCATTTGCTTGTCTGTACATAGAATTCATTACTAATAATGTGTATACTGAGTTTGGTTTTTCAAAAACACTGGCATTAAGCCAGGTTAAGCAACTTACTATGAACGGCTTCTGCGTATGACAGATAACGGAAGTGAGAGAAAAGTGGTTATTACGTTTGAAATATGGATATTTTTCTTACAAAACCGCATGGATTCACTACATGATTCCTTTATTAGGATAGCCCATAGTTGAACAAACACTCATATATGACCCACACTATTTCCATATTTCTAGCTGATTATTATTTTCTCTTACTGAGAACACATAGTTTACCATAAACTGAATAAGATGCATAAAAGGCCTAAATCAAAGTTTAGATGCTGGTCCCTATGCATGTTCTTCAGGACTCTGATATTGTGATTAAATCAGAATCATAACCCATCCATCTTACAGGAAGTCAAGATGCTTCAGCATCTATTTGTCTAATACAGCAGAACATCACCAATATCCATATATTCAATATAATGCAGGAATGGAGAAAGGCCAAATAAGTATCAATAATATGAATCATGAATAAAATGTGAAAACAATGGAATCATGAATTGTGCTTCTTAAGCTCATCTCTCTCTCTCTCTCTCTCTCTCTCTCTCTCTCTCACACACACACACACACACACACACACACACACACACACACACACACTGGATTTTTCGAGCTGGTCCAGCCACACACACACACACACACACACACACACACTGGATTTTTCGAGCTGGTCCAGCTAAAGCGCATGCAAATTCAAAAGTGAGCCTACAATCTCCTTCCTATGTCCTCTTCTTTCCTGTAGGGTCTTCTAAATTTGTTAACTGACACACCAGAGCACACCTGCCTCTTTCTATCATTCTCTCATATCTAATTACACAAACATGAGAACAAATACAAACCTGCAGTGCCTATTGCCAAGCCAAGAGACCATTTAGAGTCCATTAAAAGAGATTGATATGACTTATCAACACCAAGTGTTTAAGTGCAACTTAATCAAAAGTGCAACTTTCCCTTCAGTCTACTTCTCAAGTGGAGAGGAGAGATGAGGAAAGAGAAGTGACACTCATAGTCAGCACGACTCAGCAGACTCTGACAAACACAATTTTGGTTCATCACTGACAAAATTATGCACCATACTGTAATTTACTGATGCTACAGACACAGGACCTGTTGTCCTGGCAGACTGATGCGGGTTTAGTTTGTCTGGCTAGCAAGGCTGTGTCTGGATGGTGTCCTTAGGATATGGTGCTGTAACAAAGCCAGTTATAAATTTGTCATAAATCTGCAAGCCGTTCATTAGTATAGTTATTCCCACTTCATCTGGAAATTGAAATGCTAATTCAGTAGTAATGGGCTTATAATGGCCTGCTCAAGAAATGCAATTGGTCTTCTACATTTATAGAAGTATGAGAATGGACCACCACAAGCACTATAGTACACACAGAACTCAAAAGTGCTGTGGGTAAGTTCAGGATTTTTTTTTCATTTACTGCTTGACCAAAGTACTATGTGAAATATTATAAAGAAAATGTTAAATAACCAGCTTTTATATAGTCATTGCAATACAGCAAGTTGTAAAATATTATCTGGAAAATATTTACTCTGTTTTTTAATTATATACAGATGTTAAAAAACCTGTCTATCAACATCATAAAACCATCACAATAAATATTATGATTTCTTACCATTCTTTAGAAAGAAAAATTACATAGTAATATAATCAAATTTGGTGAATCTAAATGTAAACATTATGAAAGTATATTTAATTAATATCTTAAGTGAATGTTTTGCAATTTTTCACTCACTTGCACCCCACTGGATCCTGGTTTATAAACCTTTACTTCATGCTTTTTTCTCCAGTTTTACAAATGCAGTGATGATTGTGATTGTTTTCGAACACTTCAACCACAAACAATGTTCACAGTTCCACTTATCCCCAAAAAAAGATCCAGTCTAACATCTTAAGAGCTTTATCTCACGTACTTGAGCTGTGATACACACGTTGATGACTAATAATCTTCACATTGCTGCCGGGCTCCAGACAGACTGCTTTCTCTGTGAGTGAGGCTTGGTGCCATAAACTCTTACAGCTGCCTTCTGCTATTCAATAATGACCAGAATATTCATAATGGGGAAGACATCTGTGTCATCACTGATTTTTGGAAGCCTAATTATGATTGTTGTTTGCCCTCCTTCTCACCTGGGACACATAAGCTGCCATTTACCTTTTCGTGATTTCCAGAGCCTTAGCTAATCAGCTTATCATAAGTGAACTTACTCACTTAAAATCATAAGTGAACTTATGGTTTTTATTTAAATTTTGACTCAAAATGTTGATTGAAACATTTTTTGTTTTAGACATTGTATTAGAGGTTACTACAAAAAGCATTTCTGTAAGTTTAAAAACAGTACCTAACATTATTACAGTTTTCTGTATATAATCTTCCCTTTTACAAAAGAAAAAATAATCTGCATTGCAACAGCTCACGTCTCGTTATGTTTTTTTGTAAAACACAAAATGCATTTTGGTTAGGGGTCGACCACATGCTGATCCTTTAAATAAAGAAAAAGAAAGACTATATGCTTATATAATGTCACAGCTTTAATGGCTCTGAAGCTCAGGTCCTTATCATTTATTTATTTACTCGTGAATCACATCCACAGCTGCATGCTGCAGGAACCCCACCACGTCACCCTGCAAAGCTGCGCAGAGGTAGGAATGGAGAGATGATGTGATGATGTTTTCAGTGACATCAGTACAAACTCAAATATAGAGTCTTTCATGTAATTCATACATTATCGGGAAATGCTCAGAAGTATTGACAGTACTTTATGCTAACCCAAAAAGCCCCCTGTTTCCTCTGGTATTTTAGCTCCATTTGTGTGAAAGCCTTTTTTCTGTTACTGCAGTGTTTTTATTTATTTATTCATTATTTTTTATTGCATTACTTTAGTTTAAACATGATGTGGTTGACATGGGAGAATAAACTCTCTAATGTGCACCTGCAGTCTCAGAGTCATGCCAGAAACGTCCTCCCTCCCCATAATCACACATACACACACACCCCAAAGTGCTCTTTTGTACTGAAAATGTGTGCACTGCTCATGTACCTGTATGCTATTATTTGAAATCCAAAAAACAAGCATTCTTCCTCTGTCGGTCGTAGATGTTAGATTAATGAGTTCTATTGAGGCACCCTTTGTCCTGTTTTTCTGATAACTTTACAACAATAAATTACTACTATAAAATGTATTATAAAATTATAAAAACTTAGAATAGGGGGGGGGGGAGAACAGACTGTTTCTCTTAACTGCTCATGTTTGGTATCCACACTCCTGAGGATGTGAGCGTGGCACACAATATAGCTGTGTCTTCAGTATGGTCTCTGATTGCCAGACTGAAGGGACATGACTGACCTTTGTGTTTTTAATTGGAACGGCTGCCAGGCAAACAGAAAACTTTGGCCAATTGTCAGAGCCCTGTTTAGTAGTCATTTAGTGGGAAAACAGCAATAATAAATTAATATTCTGCTTTGTCATTCTCAGATTAATAATTTGTTAGTCTCAATTTAATAATCCAGTATATTTTAATATGATATATTATTAAATATATATGAATAATAGTAATATTTTATAATTGGATACAAGAGTATCCCTTGGAGTGAAATTACACTATTGTACAAATTTTGGGTCCGTTTTTTTATGGTGTTTATAAGGTTATAAACTAATTCTATTTCAAATAAACTGTTCTTTTGAACTTTCCGCTCACCAAAGATTCCAGTAAAAATGTATCAGTTTCCACAAAAATATTAAGCAGCACAGCTGTTTTCAACATTGATAATAAGAAATGTTTCTTGAGCAGCAAATCAGCATTATTAGAATGATTTCTTAAGGATCATGTGACTATGAAGACTGGAGTAATGGCATTTTACAATAAATTACATTTTATATATTAAAATAGAATATTTCACAATATTTACTATATTTTTTATCAAATAAACGCAGCCTTATGCAGTAAGCATAAGACACTTCTTTCAAAAAAGATTACAAAATTCTTACTGACCTCCAACTTTGAACAGTATTCTTTATGAATTTACTTTAAATAAATGTTATTTGAGCTGATTGTTTATCAGATGCCACCCATTGGAAGTAGAGAATCCCCCTGTTCCTCTTAGGAAATAATAGAAGGTCAGGATCCACTTAATGTCAAGCAGCCAGACGTTTGACTTGCCGTACAAAGTCTAGTCATTTTGTGCGGCATATGCTGGTCAGGAATAATCTATTTAGACAGCAAAAGACCATGTGACTGACATTTAAATTTTCCAAACATGGCTTGTAGGCGGTCCATGGGGGTGTCGTCTGTGGCCGAGACTCCACCTTTCCCCAACCAACCTGATATTGTATAAAATGACTTTGACGTCTGTCCACTGATTTATTGCCATTTGATCCATGGATTTCCCTATACTCTGACCTTAAACCTTCCTTTAACCCATCTCCTCATCTCTCCCATGTAGTCCATAACAGAAAACACTCTCACAGGAAGAGAGAGAGAGAGGGGGGTCTGTATATGAATCCTATTATTTTTAATATATCAAATTTGTGCTGCTCATTTATGATAGATGGTCTTGACAGTTACATTACAGGGCTCTTGTTTTGTGTCTGAGTCTGAGAGAGAGAGAGAGAGAGA